GGTTGGGGGGGGTGGGGGGGAAAGTTGTGCGCTTTCAGAGGCTGTGCTAGGGAGCCGGGCTGGAGATTCCCTGGAGCACCTGCTGCTTCTTGAACTCTCTGAGACTCTACTCAAGGGCGTTGTTATTCCTCTGGAACTTCAGCCAAAACAACCAACAGTGAGTAGTCCTGGTGAGCTGGAAAGCAGGAGGATCCCAGACTAGAAACAGTGAAGTACTTACTGGTGTAGGCTGACAGAGAGGTACCTCAGAATGCACAAAGACAGCAGAGATTGCATAGTTTGCAAAAGAAGTTTCTAGTGTCATGCTACGAGCACATGTTTTTGTGTAAGCTTTGTTGAGGATTTCTTTGTTTGCACGGATGCAATGTTCCTGCTGCTTTTTTTCTCCTTTTTTTTTTTCCCCTCTGGTCTTGCTACTAGATTTTGGTATCAAGTGTTAAAATGTCACCAATGTCTTTCCTGTTACTTCAGTGAGTGTTACTGTGTTTTGTATCTTTTGGACATTTGTCCCTGCCTTTATAAACAAAGCCAAACCTGAGTAAAGTGTAAGAAACTCCTTTCTTGGTTTAGTTTTTCTAATAGCCACTTACGAGTTTTATGAAGAATTGATCTGAATTAATTTTTCAGCTTGGAACTGAAGCATCAGCTTCCTATTTTTGAACTTTTAAAGATTACCCACCCCCATTAGAGGTCTTCATGGCTGTTCCTCTATATGGGATACTTTAAGACCGTAGAAACTGCCATTAATTTATCTTTGACTTGGAACTAAATAAATTGGGGTTAAATGTCTCAGAGTTCTCTGTTTTACAGTGTTCAAGTCATGTTTGTAGCTGTTTGAGGTGATATAGGAAACTGTCTTTCATAAATGTTTGGTTGCTAGGCTTTAAGTGCTTAAAATCAAATTGATCAGGAGAGGGCTGCAGAGGAATTCATATGCAATAACAGCATATAAATTGTTGGGAGGGTTCGTAAAGTCTAATCTTGCCAATGGTTAGTTCCCCACTGTTGCATTTGGCCTTTGTGGTGGTCTGCTGCAGGTAGAGCAGCTTAGGGTTCTTTCTGTGTTAGGACACTGTAGCCCAATTACTAGGCTTATTGTAGAGCGAGGGGTGAAATGTCACAGATGTTCTGTGAGATACAGAAGACCAACCTAGATTACTTAATGATCTCTTCAGGCCTTCATCTTTATGAAAATGTTCTGCAGTAAACGAAACTAGCAACTCTCTTAAGCCTGCCAGGATTGCTGAGACGTTATTTCCTGAGTGTTGTTTCTTTCAGATCTATTAATTTACAGTCATTTTTAACATCTGAGGAAGCAAAAGTTAGGAATGTCTGTCTGTTGTAAAATCTGATGGTTTCATAGCTTGCCCATTTAAACTATGACCTTCTGTTTTGGCAGTTGAAGATAAGAGTGACATGATAAATGTATCTTAAACTTTGTGTAAAACAATAAAATAAAAATATGAAAAATCACAACTGTGTGTCTTTTGAAATGTTTCTGATGACAGTACATGCTTAAAGGAAATGACCCATTAATGCCAGAATCTATAATGTACTGCTTGGCCCTGTGCAGTATGGACCTTCGTATATATAGAATCATAGAATCATTAAGGTTGGAAAAGACCTCTAAGATCATGAAGTCCAACCATCAGCCCAACACCACCTTGCCTACTAAACCATAGGATGTTATTACATAAGTGATATCGGGAGAGCAAAGGGCTATCAAATGCTTGTAACTACATGTCAAACTTCGTCTCCCGTAGCTTTCACAGATTTAGTGAAACACTCAAATCCTTCATATAAAGTGTGACTCTGTATTCTGTACTGGTAATCAGAGCAGGGTTTTTGAATGAAAAGCAGGATTCCCCATGCTTAGTTTTTTACATTT